TGAAGGGTGAACTAAAATTAAATGAGTTGGTGAGACACAGGTCTATTTGACGGACCTTAGGCATGACAGATCTTCTGAATCTGGTCCGTTGTGATACCGACTGCTCCGAAAAGAATATTGAAAACATGAGAATGCTCAGATGTGTGTGGTGTTAATGGGAACGACTAAAGCTTAGTGACCGTTCACAACGGTCATCGTACGGTTAGTCGTTTCAGTCTGAAAGACCTGTCGAACGTAGACTTCGCTGTTTTGGCCACGTTAAATGATGGACAGACGAACGAGTAAAAAATGTATAAAAGATGACAACGATCAGCAAGTAAATGAACTTTACGACGATTATTAGTCAGCTGTCAGGTAGATCAAGAGGAGTGCGGCTACAGGTAATCGCCAGAAACACTAAGATTTTGAGAGCACTCGCAGCCACCGACATTCCATGGATATTGTGGAATTGTATTATCATGGACGACTGGGCCATTTGAAATGGATGGCAATATTAATCCTGAAATGAACCGACGTATTGCATCGGTATCAGCGAATTATGGCAGTCTGTTTGACATACGAAGGATCGGACTATAAGAACGGACACGAAGATCACCATTCTGAAAGCAGCCGTGTTCATAGTACTCAGGTACAGTCTCGAAGCATGCGTGTCCTGAAGCATCATGAGTCGTCTCGTCTTGACAGCTTCTAACAACGCTGTCCGCGCAGCATCCTCTGATCTGAGGAAACTGTCAGATAAATTCAAGGACTGGCTTGGTTTAGTAAAATGGCTCAGAAGGAAAATTTAAATATATGCTTTAACTTTTCTCATTTGGGAACCGCCCATAACCATATTTGCTAAAAAATAAGAACGTCGTTGAGGTAGACGTGGTTGCGGGAGGAACATGACCTTTGTCCGAGCAGTGAACTCTGCCAAATATCTCAATAAAGTATTTTTTCTAAAGGTCAGACATCCTAGATTTGGGCTATTTTATTGTTTAAGCTGTGCTGGCCTTTGACGACGATAATAAAATGAACGACAAATCAACACATAGATGAAGACTGGTTGGAGCCGTAAAACACATATATAGAATTGCATGGCCGCGAATCTCGCACGTTCAGACATGACCACAGTATGGCATAAATTCCTCATTGTCCGCAAGTGAACGACTTGCTGTCCGCTTCTCGGCTCAGAGGGTTGTAGCAAAACACGAAAGGGTGAATTCGTTGCCGACGGGAAACAGCGGTTTCAGTAAGGTTGTAGATGCTACACATGAAACTAGTGCCTATCTACGGCATCTAACGTACATAGTAGTGAATTCTTTATCATACGTTGCTACAAATCCTGCTCATGTAATGCTTATGAGTTAGGAGGTTTTTCACCTGACCTTACGTAGCACTGCCATATTGAAACTGTAGTCTTCGTTTCACGCAAAAGCACCGAGATATGCGCCAAATGAAATGATCTATTGAAAACATTGTCCTTGATTACATTATACATATTGACAGCTATTCAGCAAGTGTCATTTTTCTGTGACTGTTGACTTGCGACTTTAAAGCAATGAGGACGCCTCAGATTTGTTTCAACAGCCAGTGGCCTTACGTACGAAGACATCCTACGAGTTGAGTCAGCAGTCGCGCATGATTCCGAATCAATAATAACATGCTGAATATCCCAGTCTTTCCTCTTTGCGACGGCAGCCTTAGTCAATGCCTGTTGCGTTGCGCCTCCACCAGTTCCAGATTTGTTAATGTTGCTTCCGGGATATAGCTCCCTGGAAGGTCGTTTATCCAAGCTTCAGTACGGGGTCTCAGCAATTGCAACAGAGTGAAGCAGCATTACTCAACAACACTCAACGTAGTATAGATTTTTGATGCCATTATAACCCTGCCATCTCGTTCACTGCTCGTTTAGTTTGTTTTTTTATCTTAATTTTCTTTTTTCCTTATGCTGGAAAATGCCCCCGTGTAAGAGTATTGAAGAAACAAAGCGTTAAACTTTGCAGATTTTTGACGCTGATGCTGCGTCAAATTCTCTCGATGTTTTGAGGAAGCGAAATGAAGTGAAACAAGAATGCTAGAAGCGTATTTGCGCATTTGTTCAGCAACTGAACCTGAACATGCAAAAATCGTAGAAAATAACATAAAGCATAACGCCAAAATATTAACACGAATTCATTTTGACGCCGCTGCCGTTTGTACGTGTTTCGCTCTAAAATTTCATTTTCGACGACATTCTATGTCGTTTCATTTTTTTCAGCCGCTTCTGGTATGCCATGCCTTGCAGCAAGTCCATCTACGCCAAATATTACATTAAAACTTCTTTCCGAGCTCGCGCTACTCCTCGAACTGCTCGTCCATGGCGAACGAAGAAGTTGTGTACGTTGACCGCTTTCTTTCGCAACAGGTAAAAGCTTTTGACAGCCTCTTAGAACGATGTCTGATCACTCTAGCGTTTTGCTCTTCGCTTTGCGTATGTCTAGGATTGTTATTACACCGGGTCAGATACTGTGAATACAGCAGAAAAAATAGCATGTTAGTCGCACTTCTGGAGATGAATAATTCATATGCAAGTGTGTACC